AGTCTGTTAATCCATGATGGAATTTCAACTCCGCATAATATCTATAAAAAAAAAAATTTTTTATTATTTTTTTAATTATTAATTTGTGGATGGAAAAGGTAAAAATATCTTTACATAAGAATTTTTTATATACCTGTGTCAAATTCCCTGAGAAATGATTGCAATTTTTATTCACAAGATGATATCTATCACCACGAAATTCTTTTCCTAATTCGTCGACAATTTTTTCAACTTCTCTAACTGTAAAATCGGTGTATCCTAATTGCACAGACTGCCTAAATTTATACTGTTCACCTAATTCATCAGCACCTCTAGGAGGTATTTCAAACACCCCAGAATATGGATATGGATGTCCTCCATATGCATATTCCACTCCATAAACTTCCACACCTGAATGATAAACACCTAATCCAATACTAGTCGTGTAATCATTCATCCAATTCTATATGAAAAAAAAAAAAAATTTCATTAATGTTTTAGATAAAAATTAGTTTTTCCAATTGTTTTCAATAAACTCACCATATCATAAACATTCAATATGACAGGTTCTCTTGCCATTATTTAAATAAGCTCTTGAAATTCAGACGGATTTAAAAGGCAGTCAAAATAATATTAAATTATTTTTTATCGAAGACATTTAAAAAAAAAAAAAAAAAAAAACCTTTACTCATTTTATTCATTCACTTTTAATAAAAAAGTATCATTAAAACTTATAATATAACTAAAAAAATTATAATTTTGCTTTATTTTAAAAAAAAATAAATAAATGATAATAATAATAATGTCAGTAAAAATATAAGTAAATTTAATATTTAAAAAAAAAAAAATTATTAAAATATATAAAATTAAAAAAAATTACTAATTTTAAATTAATGTTTTTTTATAAATAAACCGGAAGCCATAAGCAAAGTTAAACAATAATAACATTAAAAAAAATAATAAAATCTATTTATAAAATTAATACTTAAATAATTCACGTTTTTTTCATAAATGAAACTGTTAATCCCGTACTTTAAAATATAAAAAAAATAAAAAAATTAACTAATAAATATTTTTTTTACTTTATTTTTTACTTTGACTTTTGATGAATAATAGTTTTAAAGTGACGTCATATTTTTTTTTCATAATATAAAAATTAATTTTACTACAAATTAACAATCTTTATTTATTGGTCTGTGAAAAAGCATAGAACGTTACGTTAAAGAGTTTACATGCTTAATTTCATTTAAGGTAAACTTTTTTTTTTTTTTTTTTTTTAACGAGATGTATTTTGTTATGAAGTATAATTTACCTCATTACTAATTATCAATTGTAAATTTTTTTATTAAAATATAATCCTGTATAAATTAATCATTATTTATTTCATAGAAAAAAAATTAACGTTAATTTTTTTTTTAACCTAACCTGGTTAAAATCAAGTGAATACAATGAAAGACGGTACGGAAAAAAATGGGAAAATGATGAAGAAAAATTATAAATTTAAAAAAGAATTCACACAAAATATACCAGATAGTAATGAAAGAAATGAAAATTTTAATAAATTAAATAAACAACATTCGGGAAAATGGTATGATGAACTAAAAAATATTGATAAAGGTGAATCTGAGACTTTGCCTCCTGAACAAATTTCAAGTCTTAAAAGTCAAGCTAGTTCAGTATTTAATAATGCAGTTATTTTGAATAAATCAAGTGAGTATTTAAAAAATGAATAATTTATTTTCTATCATACTCTTAAAAATATTATCTTATTTAAACATATTGAAAATATTTTTTTCAGAACCTCCGAAATCCCTCAGTTATTCAGATTACAGATGGGTTCAAACAGTGATGTCTAAAGGTACCAAAACTGATAAGGTTGCTGCATATACTCTCTTAATTCAAGATTCTCCTTTGTATAATTTGAGTCTCCTTAAAATTATGGTGGAAATGGTCAAGGCTGGAAAAAATAAAGAATGTTTTATGGCAATAGGTTACTAATCATTGTGAAATTCAAACATTTTGAAAAATAATGTTACTGCTAGTCTCTTAAAATAATAGTTTTTTTCTTGTTTCAGACACTCTGTGCGAATTGTTTTTAAGCGATCTTTTACCTCCTTATAGAAAATTAAAAACATTTAATCAACAACCACTTTCAAAACTAGAAGAATTATCATCTGGAAACACAGTTACCAGAAATAAATATTTAACATTGTGGTATTTTGAAGACCAATTAAAATCAGTTTATAATGACTTTATATCTATGCTTACAAAACTTGCTTTTGACACAGTAGAAGCCAACAAACAAAAAGTTATAACAACCATGTATAAACTATTGGAAGGAAATCCCGAAATGGAAAACGTTTGTTGAAAACATTTAAATTTAATTTAAAAAAAAAAAATGTTTTTTAACTTGAATTTAATCTATTAAAAATAATTATTTATTTATTTTCATAGGTCCTTCTTAATAATATTGTTAACAAATTGGGTGATCCGAGTAAAAAAGTAGGATCAAAAGTTATATATGTTTTAATGAAATTATTGCAAAGTCATCCGAATATGAGAGGAGTTGTAGCTGATGCTGTTGAAAAAGTTATATTTAGAAAAAATATAAGTAGCAGAGCTCAATATTACAGCGTTTGTTTTTTGTCACAATTTCGATTATTCAAAGGAGAAAATGAAATAGCTAAAAAATTAATATCAATATATTTATCACTTTTTAAAGCTTGCACAAAAACGGTTAAGAGAAAAAACATTATTACATTACATTATTAATGGCATTTTTTAACTTTAATTTTAGAATTATGGGAAAAATAATCCATGTTTATTTCAGGGTGACATCGATTCGAGAATGATGAATGCATTGTTGGTCGGAGTTAATAAAGTATTTCCATACATGAAAGATGATGTTAGCATTATGCAAGAACATGTAAACACATTGTATAAAATTATTCACCTTAGTCAATCCAATATTGCAATACAATGCCTTTCCATAATTTACCTTATATCTCGTTATTCAAACAGTTGTGAGGATAGGTAAATATTAAAAGAGTAAATTATCGATAAAATTTTTTTTTTTTGAAAATTATATCGTTTATTTAAAAAAAAAATTTCATTTTTTAGATTTTATTCAATTTTATATAAGAAAATAGGTGAAATTGAAATGTTTCAATCAACTCATCATGCCATGTTTATTAATTTAATTTTTAAAGCTGTTAAAAATGATAAAGAAATCCCTAGGATATGTGCTTTTATCAAAAGACTTTTCCAGGTAACAAAAAAAAAAAAAAAAAAGGAAAATTTCAATTAATTTTATTTAATTTTGAATTTTACAAATGTTTTGTGTTTGTTTCAGATTTGTACATATATTCCAACATCAATGGCTTGCGGCATATTAATTTTAGTCTCACAAATTTTAAAACTTAAAGGAAATATTTTACTACAAGAATCATCTTCAGAAAATTGTCCCATTAAATTAGAAGAAGAAAGTGATGACGAGGACGAAAAATATAATGACGTCACGGAGGAAAAGGTGACTGCTTACAACAACAACAAAAAAATTTTTTAGTTTTTGAAAAAAAATGGAATGATAAATTATTGTTTAAATTTTTTTTTTTTTTGAAAGGCATGCGATAATGCAGATGTAAAACTCGATAATAAATTGGAAGAGGTCAAAGAAGAAAAGGAAAAATTTACAAAAACTTTATTCAATGTTCAAACTCCTGGAGTTCTCAAAACGTGGACGAATCCGGATAAATCGGGATTAATGAAATTTAACCCGGGTGATGTTCAAGAATATAATCCCCTTGTGAGAAATCCACTTTATGCGGGTGCACATAAATGTCTGTGTCACGAATTGTTTGAATTGTGTCAACATTTTCATCCGACGGTTTCACTTTTTGCACAAAAAATAATTAATGGTAAACCGTACACGTGTCTTTTGTTTTTAAAATGCTTTTGATGTTTATTTTACGCTTGAAATAATATTTTTTCCCTAATTATTCTTCTTTTTTTTTTGTGTATCAGGTGAAACGATTTCTTACTCTGGAGATCCACTTTTAGATTTTACACTCATACGATTTTTAGATAAATTTTCTTTCAAAAATCCAAAAGCTATCAAAGAGGAGGAAGATGGCGTGCGCAAATCATTTTTACCATTTAATAAAAAAAAACATTATGTTTCAAGTCCGGTCCGACGATTGAGAGCCAACACCGTTCAATATTTGAGATTAAACGAAAGTAGTATACCAGCAGACGAAATATTTTTATACAGGTTGGTTTTTCTTTTTAAGGTCGTTACACAAATCGAATGAAATTTTAACAAAAAAAACTTTTTTATTACATACCTAAAGGTACATGAAAGAAAAATCAGCCAATAAGGTTTACAAGAAGGAAAAAGATTCCAGCGA